CAACCGTTCGGAATAATAATTCTACCATAATTGTAAAACGACTAGTGGTATCTGCCCTTATGACTTTAAAGAGAGTCCTTAAGTGAAGCTGAGTCCAAAATAAAGAAAGGCTCCTTTGATGATATCATATTTCCGAACCCTTAAATTACCCATTACTTGTGAAAGCAAGGTGACTCGGTAATTTGTTTTTGTTACCTCAACCATAAGCTCAGGGTGTTTCTATACGATGCATTCATAAAGGCCCATAAATATACTATAATTACTAGCTGCTTACTTCAATATCGCCATTAAAGCCCCAGAAATCTGAAATGGATCTTAGAAGGTCACGATATAATTATATACAAACAAAATATTAGGCCGGATTATTCACCGACCTGAGACTGATAACCAGGTCGTTTCGTAGCATAGGCAACCGCACTGCCGGCTAAGCAGCAAGGCTCGTGTTGATCTGATGCAGCCTATCAAACTCTTCTAAAATGAAATTTCCCCTAGCCAGAGTTTTATTATAGATTATGATTTGCTCGTCATGATGAGCGTCTTCACTGAAAGTCTATTATTACCAGTCTTTGCGACTCCTCGTGAACATTGAGGATAATCCAACATTCATAATTACGTAACGTTTAAGAGCGGTTGGAGTCTGGATGCTGATAATTACTCATCCAAACTCCAACCGGTCTTTAACATAATGTTTAAAACCGGCCGGGCACACATTTATTCCCTTATTATAGGAGGACACTGTACACCTTCCAGTTGACGCAGGCGCGGTTCTAGAGTCAATACTTTTGGGGGGCTAGCAGGGTGAATCCAGATTTTTTTTGAGGGAGGCGTGCTAAAATTTAGACCGGTTATTTTCTCCGGACACTTAGGCCTCCGAAAAAAAATAGGTGGGGGATTTTCAATGGGGAGCGCTGATAAAATCCTATAATCAGGCACACTTGATTAACTAAAGTGTACAAAATGCACCCATCTCACGACTATTCATTTAGGTGGAAACCCGTTCGCATGTACCTCACATTCTTACATTTTCCTAGTGCAATTTTTTTAGGTATTTTTTTTGGGAGGAGGCTAGCCCCCTAGCGCCACCTCCCCCCGTAGTACCGCTACTGAGTTGACTTTATAGGTAGTATTTCGGATTTTCTCACTTAATTAACTTTCAGGCAGAATTAGTTTCTTCCAACTTTCGTCCACTTGTCTCTTGCATGTACAAGAACAAACTTTGCTTAAAATTGTGTTTAAGCTTTCACGTACTCAATCTCAACAATACACAGCAGTAAACAAGAGAGACATTTTTAATGGTACACTTTCTTGTTTTGTTAGAATTAGAGAGATTTTGATGGAACATTATAAACTTTGCCCAGTGGCTATTTCAAAAGCATTAAACATACAATTAACACAATTTCTATAAACCCAGAGCAAGCACAAGTATCTTTTTCGTACCATTAAAAAAGTGATGGTGTAATACAATCACCAGGTGGTAGCTGTTAGAAATATACCAAACAACAACAACATTGTCCAATAAAGCTGCTAAAAGTTACTCCCATTTGCCCTTACCTTGTACAAAGAACGTCAGTCCCAGAACTAGACGGTATAAACTTAGGCGTGTCATTTTGTTCCAGCTTCTGCATTTAATCCAGGGCGGGTAAATCCGGCACGTCTGAGATTTCGTAGTTTTGTGCAGGTGTAGGCAGAGCTGCAATTACGTGGGTTCTGAAGACTGCCGATTTTCGGCTCTCCAAGCAAGAGTCACAAATATTGTTCATCAATGTCGTAGAAGCCCGTCCACGTTGAGATCATGCAATCAAGTGTCAGACCTGATAGCAACCCTCGTCCGTAGAGGGCGCCCCTGTTATCTTCACAGCCCAGTTACCCCTCCGTGTCCCCCTCTTGTACCCGCAGTGATTTTACAATACAATTATTTGTCGGTAGTTGCAAAAAATCAACCTTGGGAATCAGTATTGAATGGTCAGACACGACGGGCTGTGACAGCCAGTCACAGCCCGCGATTCAGCCCGCGTTTCAGCCCAGTGCGAATCAGTACCGCGATTCGGCCCTCAATGTTGTGTTTGTTAGCAAGAAGCTCATACAGTTAGTATTCGTTCTTACGAGCGGAAATGAGTCCAGCTGATATCCTTCGAGCTCGTGCGCACATGATAAAGAAATTTCTTCCGTTTTTATTGTGTGCCCCCAAGCGATGACTATCGATTTAAGGGGATTTTTTAAAGAAAAAACAACCTGGACACATTGAGAGAAAATGGCCCGAATTTGTAAAGCCCTGTACATTTTCAATGGACCGCTTTCTGTTTTTGCCGCCCGGCCCTTTTATGCGCATAGTGCATAAATATGATTTAATTAGTGAAAGCCAATAGCATGTATATGACGTACAGCTTTGTTCTCGCTGCGCATCAACAATGCAAGCCAGCATCTGCAAAGTGCATATAATTAATCCTTACGGTCTTGCACTTGCAACACATCGTACAGCTCATTTTCTACAAACCACGCATAAGCATTGCACAAGCGCAGAGCACTACTGTCCTGTCTGCTCACTGTCCGCAGCTCAACTCACCTATAACATGCATCGCTCACTGTATCACGTGTCTGCCTTACATTTGCATACACGCATAAGTGCACTTTGCTACGCGCCCTTTACGGTTTGCAAATTTAACATTTAAACCCGAACTAGAGAAATCTCTATCTGAATAGAGATATCTGCATTTGGAATAGAGGTATTTTCGTTCCCAATAAAGATTTTTGTATTTGCAATAGTGGTATCTCCATTTGAAATAGAGATGTCATGTGGATTATGTATATAGTTTAATTATGTTAATAATTGTAATGTGTAAAAAATACTTATTTTGTGTATATTTAAATGCTAACATAACGATTTCATGTTTGTGTCATAACAACGTTGAAAATAAATGTTCAGTAATAACATACATCTATTTACAAATAGAGATATCCCTATTAGAAAAAGATATCTCTCTAAATCTTTTTCTGGGCTTCGTATCGGCCGCTGTGCCAAAATGTCATCAATGTCAGAATGTGACATTACATTTTAGCAAGCGAAAGTGTCCGCCAGTCAATTGTTAGCGAGTCAAAGTGTCCGCCATCTGCGCGCGTGGCAATGGCTAGACTGCCGCATGCATACAGGAAAGTAAACGCGAATTGAAAAAAAAAAACAAGATTGTAAAAAAAAAAACACTTCTTACCACACATCGCGTTGGACGACCTCTGACACAAAGACCGGACACATTATTGTCTATTTCAAACAGATATATCTTTATTTGAAATAGGGATGTCTCTATTTCTAATACAGATTTCTATTGATGTCTACTTTGGGATTAAATGTTAACTTCGCACGCCATACGCCTTGGCCAAGCAATGCCATGCACGAAGCAGCCCTACATTGGGCACTAAGCTCCGCCTAGCCTGCGCAAGGGCAGATCGGGGGGGGGGGCATAAACCCCCACCCGCAAACGAACCCATTGACGTCACAGTAAAGACAGGCAATGAGTTCACCGCCATCTTTTCCTCAAAAAAAAAACATTGGTTAAAGTGTTCAGAAATTGCCTCAGATCGCACCAGAGAGAGAGCATCTAGAATCCAAACACTTGTCGGGGCCCTTACGCGAGCCCCGAACCCCACGCCGTAATTTTTTTACCCACATTTTGGGGGACCAAATTATTTTTGGCCGCACAAAAAATGTGTTCTGGACCCGCCCTTTGCCTGTGCACGCACACAAAAGCCACAGGAATATAGTCTTGCACATTCACATTTTATGCAATTTTAATACAATAGAAATAAACTTGCCCAAAGTCCTCACTGGGCCACATTATGCTCTGATTTTCGAAAAACAGTTCAGCCATAGTCGGCGCCTGAGGATTTTTTTGCCATTAACATATAGCTATTACAGGAGACACAATACTCACAATACTTTGTTGCAAATACGTCCAAAGTCACGAAATGACGAATAAGAAAATAAAATCTAGATGAGTATGCATTGATGAATGGTCCTTTTAAGATTCCACATGCCTGCGCCAAAAGATTACCGACAATAAGCCTGCATTAAAAAATAATAATAGTTTAGTCAACACTGATGTTTTACTCTGGTTGAGTTATACTCTTCTGAGAAAATTGTAACCGCAGTCTTAGAATCGGGTTAAGTTAAAGAAGAACAATTAGCGAGTTTAATGAGTTTTGTCATTTTTTTCTTGTTTCTTTTGTCCCTGTGGTTTGGTTTGCTTATTTGTGTTGTTTGTTTTTATGAACCGAATTCGGAGCAATTACCGTGTTTTTATTAATTCAAATTGGAGAAATTATCGAGACTTATTCACTTCCACAGAAAAAAAGTCAACATGTTGATTGCTGCTTCAAGGTTTTACCTGAACAAAACCGATACTATAAGGCCTATAAAACACACAAAAAATACGTTGTAATGACACATTGTAAAGATCAATTTTGACTTCCGAAACCTTGCTTTATAAAAGAACAGATATTATGAAACCACACTCTTGCCTCAAGAAAAGTGTTGAGTTTTTGATTGTATCGGTACAAGGAAGTGTATAGAAAAATAAATGATATGTCGCTGTCCAAAACGTGAACGGAAATCACTACAGACAAAGGAATAATAATAACAATTATTCTGAGCTCTTTAATGTACCGGTTTCACCCGATTTCTTCATATAAATATATGAGGAAACTAAAGTGTTTTTTTACGACACTATATTTATACTGCCTATACTAACAGGAACCGGGACATTATGGTTCAATTAATCATATTGTATTAATGACAGCACGCACAGTGTAGCCACTACACGTATAATCACAGTCAGTCGGTTTTCACGCAGCAGTCACAGCACTTCACTTTGAACATTGGACAGTTTCAAAATGGCACACGAATTTCGCTACTTGCTGATATTCGCGTTCGTGTGCGTTATTTCGCAAGGTAAACTTTTTGTTTTTGTTCTTTTCCTAGTATAGCGATAAATGATTATATAGCGAAAATGTCATACTTCATCATTGTTAGAAGTGAGATTTAACAGGCCACGGATCCTACACACAAAGATAAACGACTATTCTGAGCTCTCGCACAAACATGCACAGAACGAATAACTTGACTGGTTGGACGCGTGCATGATAATGGGCCTTAGTACCCGTTGGCACGTTAATCGCGAATGTTCCAGGTGTGCCATTTTGTCGGTTTGTTCGCATGCCATTTAAAATGGAAATATTTATAAAACTTTAAGCAAAACCACTCCTTATGTAAGATATACTTGTTCAAAAATGGTTAAATAACAAGTACTTCAGGATATATCAGATGGTATTGTGCAGGTTTTGTTGTCAAAGATGAAGTATTTATCCGAGAAATAAACCTCAAATGTGACTCCTTTTTTTCCAGGAGAACACCGTTAACCCCAATTTCATTTTTAATTAGGCTTTCATCAAATAAAGCCGATAAAACAAATGCGACATTTTATAGTTCAGCTAAAAATATTGTGCTCGGCGTTAACATGGTTATGTAGTTATCACTTATCAGAATTCAATAATAAAGGCCAAAAACGAAGGATCAAGAATATTGACCAATATAATTATCTGGCTTGACAGAATTTGACACCAGATCGAGCGCAGATTCCTGCAATTTTGAAAGCCGCCGCGCTCAGTGAAGCGATTAAAAGCTGTCTTGTTTTTTTTTGGACAAGTATTCGTAGTAATTGTCACCTGTGTGGGAGAAAAAAAATATGATGACAAATAATTTATTTTAATCACCAGGATGTTTGAAACCAACATAATATCCAAATTGTTCAAGGGAAAGGGAAAAAGAGCTTACTGATTTTTTTTTGTTTAAAGCTTGCCTTGCCTTGCTTTTACAGCCGTGCCGCCGCCACCAGAAAACGTCTTTATCGACAGGAGTAAAATCACAGCCTCCACGGTAACTGTCACTTGGAGTCCAGGGGGCGGAGACGGCGAAACGCAGTGGTTTTTCGTCAACCATCGGGAGTATGACACCACATCGACGTTCGACACCAACACCCGAGTCCGAATACCCGACGGCGTGTACGAGCACACGGTGGTAGGCTTGCGTCCGTACACCGTGTATGAGATCGAGGTTTATGCCGAGAATGCCAATGGCCCAAGTGATTACATCAAAAGAGTCGTCACAACGCTTTCTACTGGTAGGCCTAATTAATTTTTAAACGTCACCGCGAGAGGTACTTATGTGATGGAAAACAGATAAAAAAAACTTGCGCATCGAAACTGAAAGTTTGCCAGTCCTTTGAACACGAGTTCAGCTTATTTATTTATTTATCCAATACTGTTTCAGTCTAACGTGATTGAATCCGACTTGGTGCATTTTGTGCTCTTGTTGTGGTGCAAGTTATCCATGAAAGAAAGGCATAAAACATGCATCACATTACACGGCAGGCCGTGAAGTAGAAAAATGACTTGTTGGCGCTGTGTATTGTGAATCGTTCATGATGATTGCTAGTTTTTAACAAGGTACTTCAGACTCTCGGAGTTGGAATGTTGCTGTGCTTATTTAGGGTAGACTGTCTCCCCCTCTCCTTCACAAAACGAAGGTTTCGGGAAACAGTCTATTTGCAGTGCGGATCTAACTTAAAACAAACAACGTTTTTGCAGCAGAACATTGAGGTTCAACATTTATGTTGAACTTTCACAAATGAAACAAATGAAGAGCACAGAAAAAAAAAATCATCTCAAAAAGGGAGGGGCACTTTATGTATTCCTTGAATTAGTTATATCCAGCCTGTTACTTTGTGTAGACCGGATGCATGACAAGGCTTCCAGTCCACTATGACGCGAATACATTTCTTGCGCTCTGTGACAAGCTTCACAGGGATTGCATTGACTTGTTTTTACAGCCTTGCCGCCGCCACCAGAAGACGTCTTTATCGACGATAGTAAAATCACAACCTCAACTGTAACGGTCACTTGGAGTCCAGGGGGCGAAGACGGCGAAACGCAGTGGTTTTTCGTCAACCACCGGGAAAATGACACCACATCGACGTTCGACACCAACACCCGAGCCCGAATACCAGACGGCGTGTACAAGCACACGGTGGTAGGCTTGCGTCCGTACACCGTGTATGAGATCGAGGTTTATGCCGAGAATGCCAATGGCCCGAGTGATTACGTCAAAACAATCGTCACAACTCGACCGGAGTTTGTTTCTACTGGTAATTAATTTATTAAATCTTACCGCCAGAGGTGCTTATGTGAAGAAAAATATCAAACAAACTGACTTAATGGTAATTAATGTATTAAATGTTGACGGGAGAGGTGCATTTGTGAAAACAAAAACTGGACCTGCGCGCCCAAATACTGACTGTTTCAATCATGAAAGACGGGTGAAATTCATGAATAGCTGATTGACTAAAACATGCATCAAGTTACATGGCAGACCGTGAAGTAGAAAAATGACTGTGTGACACAAGTGTATTGTAAATCGCTCATTGATTGCCAGGTTTTTTTTGTTTTGTTCATGCCGCAGCTGCAGGTGCAACTGACAGTCCAGCGAATATGCCAGCAGGTGCGTATTCCTCTTTCCGTTATTGTAGCATTCCTTTTGTCGTGGACGGTATTTTTTTGTTGGTTAGATGTTCACCAATTTTTTGGCACACTGAATATTTCGACGAGCAGCTCAAACCATACAGTGCAATCATGCGTTTGTACCGTGCTTTGTTTTTACGATTTTTTTTCAAGTTTTTTGTCTTAATAACATTTCCTTGGCGACGTAGACAATTCGACTATGGCGCATGCGTTGCCGGAAAAACCAGCAGCGAAATTCCTCCAATATTTCTCCATATGAAACGATCTCAGAAATAACCTTATAACTAATTATAATTATATCAAATCATGAATGCAACGATTAGCTAAGAGCCATTCACAATATTTTGGATATTTATAGAACTCATTTACCCTTAAGAGTAACTGGTCATAATGACCTGGAATTCGGGTTCTATTTGGCTTTATATAATTCAGATTCATAATTGACACTTTTCTGGTCCAAATGACTTCCTGTGATCATTTAATCATACTGACCCTGGAAAGTATCAATGGCCAACTAGAGACTAAATCTCAGGCCGAACCTGCTCAGGGTCTTTTTGTTTTCGTTTTTGTTTATGGATCTGTACAGTGCATAGTTTGTTCTTCATCAATACCGAGAACGGAATGAAAATATCGGAAAGGTTTATACTCCTCGGAAGAAGCAAATTACTCACATTGCCTTAGCCTGGTTTTACTACAATATATTAACGATTCCTGTGATGTTGTTTTGTAAGAACAAGCACTTCAGATTATGCATACTTTCTTATTAGGACTTCCATTTTGTCTATTTCAAGTTACTAATGGCCCAGGCAATACTGGAGTCACTGTTGGTATTGCAGTACTTGCAGTTATAGCAACTGCCGGCATCCTGATTGCTGTTGTTGGAATCATCTGGTACAGACGAAAAGCTAGCAGAACAAACTCGGGTAAGCCAAGGTGGCAGTAATTAGTAGAATTTAGGCCAAAAAAAAAAATAGTCGGTCTCTGGTCAGACCGAAGTTCCGGAATTGATGCGGCGACGCGTTTTTTTTTTGGGGGGGGGTGGCTTTTTTTTTTCAAGCTTGTATTGTACACACAAGGTGGGTACCATTTTACTTTTTTGTGTCCACATTATACATTGGTGTCCTCCATAATTTGCCTTGGTGCCCTTTATCATTTGCCTTGGTGCAATTTCCCCATTCCTTGGTGCTCCTTGGTACAACAATTTGAGGAGGCGCGGCAATAGAGGGCGCTGTTGTAGCTTCCGTGTTAATTTGAAGAAAAAGAAAAGGTTGACGTGCATGATTAAAATCGACGCGCGCGCTGACCAGAGACCTAATTCTCCTTACTTATATAAAGATATCAAAGTGGAGGTTTTTGCGTTTAAATTTACATGGAAAATGAAAAAAAAAAAACCCTTTGGTAAACATCCTTCAAATAATGTTATCATGAGAATGTTATTTTTTAAAATATGCTCTTTTTGATCAGATGACCGGAGGCCAGTCCCCCAACCGTAAGTTGATTTACTTATTCTCTGTTCAGCCAAGCTCATAGTCTTCGTTTGTTTTGATTAATTACAGTGCTCATCGTTACTTCTTATACGTTGACACATTTGTTTGATAAATTTACTGTTAAATTGCTTTTATAACCAGTAGCGTAGCAAGGACATTTGTATTTGCGGGGGAGGGGGGGGGGGATAATAACCTGTGAAAGGGCACTCGCCCATCCATAGACAGGTTTTTGTTTTTTCCGGTCACCCAGCCTCCATAAAAATTGATTTATTATGCACAAAAGACTGAGTCTTGACTTCGAGATTGTGATATCACTTCTAACTAAATTTTCAATATACCGTTTCTCCTTTAGAAAAGGCAGGTCGCAAGATAATAGTGGTTTCATTAATGAAACTCAAGGGTACCAGGATTTGGGTAAGACAATGTTATTGCTTTGGATTAAAAGTGCTCCGTCTTGTTTTTGAACACAGCTTTACTTTTGCCAGGGCACAACCATATATTTTTTACTATATAACACTTACGCTTGTAATATACATATTTTAGATATACCGATGCAATCCACATCCATTTTTGTGACCCGAGATCAAGACGCCTCACCGTACGCGACCATTTCGGAAAGTCTTGCGGAATTCTCGCGAGACCAGCTGACCATCATGCGGGAACTTGGGCAGGGTGAATTTGGAAAAGTGTTGCTGGCAAAAGCCGCGGGCATTGTACAACGCGGCGTTGTCACTCACGTCGCCATCAAAACGATTAAAGGTAAAATATAGCCCTAAAACATGGCAGTGAAAGAGCATGTATGTGGAGGCGTGATATTGTTTGTTGTTTTGAAAACAGAAACGAGTTAAAAGAACAAAATACGGAATGTAAATTAATTAAATTTAAAGGCATTTAGGATCATTTACTTCCAGAAAAAACAGTTGAAAATTACGCACGAAACACGATTTCCTCCATAGCACCAGTTATTTCCAAAAACCAGTCAACGGACTGAACGATAGAAATCCCTTTTATTTGTTAAGTTCTTTCAAGTGACAGCAAGCTAGACGAAACAATTTTACGGGTTGTTTAGCATCAGTAAATACTGTTTTTAATCCAAGTAAGCTTTTTGATAATAATTCGGTAGGTTACTTTTGGGATAAACGCAAGTGATCTCATTTGCCTTTAAAGGGAATGTACAACATTTGCTTTTGCTGCAATTTTCAGAAATGAATGGAATTGGATGATTAGTATGTTATAGCAAATATTGTTAAACTGACTTGTTTCACGTTATGGGCTCGTAGATGCTGGAAAACCAAGAACACCAATCATGTTCTTGTAGTCTTGTTCCCTGACCCAACTTAAGATGTAACGGAGCAATTAATATACTTTGGGAAATTGTAAGGTCAGAGAATCAGTCTAGCAGGCTAATACCCCTTCATAGGTGTGTAATCAATTGCAAAGAAAATAACGGCCATTAACTAAATACCTAATAACTAAATATGAAAACTTAGGAGCAGCTTTTGAAAAAAAACCCAGTTTTCTCCAACGCTGGTCGGCCGACCAGCTTTGGAAAAAAAACCCCTTTTTTTCTTGAAAATGTCCGCACACTAGGAGCCACAATTATACAGGAAGCTTTAGACTGTCATTCCCTAACAATCTAGTAAGATATTTTGTGATTATTTGATCATTTCGTTCTTTGACGTTTGCAAATGTTGTATCTTCCCTTTAAATTAAACAAAGACTGTTCATTTCATAGAAAGTTTGAAACAGGTTTAGCACAAAGACAGGCACCAGAAACACGGTCACCTGCTTAGTACTATTATTTAGCTGTTTCAACTATGCTCTTTTGAGCCTACACAGTTCAGAATTATGTCATTTCAAGCAACTTGAGACGTACTGACGTCGTGCTTTGTAAACACTGGTATAATGTACATTTTATGGGAGCCTCCCACCTAGTCTGAGTATCACCCATTATCCACGGAAGTATCTCCTGTCTAACGTCTGATTGTCAAAGCTTGCAGATGATAACATGATACATGATACCGAGCGCCGCGCGCCGAGACAGTTTTTTTGTGTCCATGTCTATGCGACGCACAACAGGTGAATGACCGAAAACCCGATAGGCCTATAGAAAGCGCCCGCTGATTGGTCAAACTCTAGGCAGTCTAGAGGCGGAGTCTTGCCTAATTAATCAGCAAATCTGTTCACGCATAATAGACCACGGCTACTCCCCACTTATTAGCTCCCACAAGAAAACACACGTGTAATGAAATTTGGAATCCACTTTCATGTTCTCTGTTGAATGACCAGACGGGGCTGGACCAACGGAGAGAGGAGATCTTCTCCGAGAGATGGACTTCATGAAGCAGTTGCCGAGTCACGCAAATGTCGTCAAGCTTCTTGGCTACTGTGTTGATAAAGGTGAACAGCGGTGTCTCTCTTTTTGTGAAAAAAAAAGCCTTACAGGGGCGGATCCACGAATTGTTTGCAAGGGGGGGGGGGAAGTTCATCAGGAAATCAGTGCTGAAATGCAGACAGGTTTGTTCTCCTCCGGGCACTAGGCCTCAGTAACATTGACTGGGGACAAAAGGGTTAGGGCACAAACAAAGGGTCCACGATTGACCGAACGTCCACGATCTCAAATCGTGTACAAAACCAATGAGAGCTGTTGCTAAAAAAAGTTAGAGTACAAACAAAGGAATAGGTGTGCTGAAAGAAAAGAGTGTGCTGTTAATGTTTGGTAGATCCCGTCTTCATCATCATGGAGTACCTTGCCAAAGGACCCCTGAAGAACGTCCTGACAGAGAGTCGGGGGAAGGTGAAGCAGGCCTACGACAACCTACACGGCAGTAGCAAATCTCTGACGTCAAGGGAACTCATCAAGTTTGCCAGAGACGTGGCCGACGGTATGGCCTTCCTAGCTTCTCAGCAGGTCGGTATTGAAGATACTACATAAGGAATAAACAATCATACCAAAATACGTTTTTCTTTTCATTGCCAAAGGAAACAAACTGTTTAACACATTAACTGAGTTAGCAATGATGTCACTAAGAAAATCCTTTCGAGTACATGAACTGTTATCAAAATAACGGTTAAAAACACTTTACCTTGCTACAGTTGGAAATACTGTTGTAGAAGCTGCTTAGTTTTCAATGATATATATTTTTTGGGTTGTTTGGGGTCTTTGAAGCTATCCAGTTTGGAATGAACATGTCGTGTAATTGTTAAGATAGAATGTAAAATTCAAAAGTAAACATTTCGTTCCCAACCTCGTTCCCAGTGCTTACCTTATTTCCAACCGCGTTTCAGATAGTAAGCCCTGGATAGGAAACTTTCTTCCTGTATCCTGATTGGATACCGCAATTGGCCAGAAATGGATTGATGTCGTGTACTTTGTGTTGTTATTCACAGTACGTGTTTTCGCAATCAATCGTCCATGCCTTCTCGAAAATATTCATTTTCTTTCCACTTTGTTCATATTAATATGAAATGTGATACTGCATGTTGTCTCGATAAGATCGTAAGAGTTTAATTAATATAAATTGTGTTGTCGTAACTCACGCCGTGCTCGCGCTGCGACGAATTTATTCTTGTTTTACCCTAGACATCTCATGTGCATACGTGTTCAAAAATCTTGCACATGCAAATGATCCAATACCAGGGTGAGAGAGCAGCTTGTGGTGGGCGCGTACTGCTCGACACCCTGGAGACGAGTTTGTTTCGTTCCAGCCAGTTAAAACAGCTTGATTTAATATGTAGATAAAGTTGTGGCAGACTGATGACAATAAGGTGGAGACAATGTAATACATTGCTGGCATTTGATTTCAATGTTATGCGATGTTAAATTTCATGTCACCTTATACTTACAGATTCTCTTTCTTCATTAGCCAAGACCTCATCACGTGTCTTCTTTTTTATAACAAGGTTTTACCGCCCCTCCTTCAAAATAAATCTTAAACTATGGTTCAGGTTTTACTGACCGCTTAAACCAGAGTTTTGGTAAAAAAATAACCTCCGTTTGTGAGCCCAGGAGTTCTTTTGATATCACCTAGCTCAGGAACGTAGGTTTCTCTTACTTCTCTTGGGGCAATATTCTTATATTATCTCTCTAGTGGAAATATGACACATTTGTCCCGGAGCAAAGTAACAACGATTAGGCCTATTAGTAAAGTCCAGTTATCGTATTTGAAAGATGATTTTTGTTTATCCACCTCCGCCTTCAGTGCATCCATAGAGACCTGGCAGCCCGAAATGTTCTCGTGGCCGAGAATATGGTGTGCAAAGTGGCCGATTTTGGGCTTGCACGCGACGTCAAGAATTTCAGAGTCTACCAACGACGGTCAAAGGTGTGGAAATCTTTGATTATCTGAGTAACGTCCAAGAAGTGTGTGATCATTTGGAACGAGGTCGCAACTCACCCGCTACCCTCAGGGGCTTCGGAACCGGGGGGGGGGGGGGGGGGGGGCTGAGGGGCTGAGGGGCAGTTGCCCCCAAGATTTACCCAAGTGTCCCTTTTGCGGACATAAATGAGCCCCCTCGAGCTAAAATGTGCCCCCTTCAAAATGAAAAAAAAAGGCCCTAAAAGTTTCCCTGAATTTGTTGTTAGTTACCATTCTCCAAAAAGGTATTAATATTTGTGATATGAGAGAGGTGACAGAGCCCCCCCCCCCCCCACCATTTCATTTTAAGGGAGGCCAAGTGTCCGGTTAGAAAAAAATTGTAAACGTGTCGACCTTTCAGCACGGCTGATGCCCCCCCCCCCCCCCCCCCCCCCCAGTTTAAAAACGGTTCCGCCGCCGCTGGCTACCCTACTATCACATTTATTTCTGCGAGGTCACCTGACCCAAGATAAACAGTTACATGCAGTTGTGTAATTGTTTAAGTTTATGTTGTATTCACACTTCGGCTGTGTTGAACAGGGTCTGTTACCTCTCCGCTGGATGGCGCTGGAGTCAATTCTTGATGACGTGTACTCAACAAAAAGTGACGTGTGGTCTTATGGCGTTCTCCTGTGGGAAATCCTAACTCTAGGTAAAACTTAGTGGATTTTATTTTTGGTTTCATTGTTTCAATGCGAAATCTTAAATCCGTAGCTGTAGCGGGCTGATTCCGACAGTCCTTCAAAACACTTTAGCACTATTCAACGATCAAAGGACTTAAATGCTTCGGGTAAACAACAACAACAACAACAACAACAACAACAGAGCAAACACGTTTGTTTGAAGGATATATTAAATAACAAACAGAAAAGAACCAGGCCATAAATAACGCAGAACGATTTTCCGGTCGCGAAAAAAAATATATATATACGAGCTGATAAACGTGGCGCCTCCAAGCATAGACAGTTTCCAAGTCCAAAAGACGTTCGCTTAGCTAAAACACCTTACCTACAAACAAATGTCATATTGTTTTTGCATTAATTGATTAATATTATTTTGATTCTGGTCCACGGTTCTGTTGGGTCAGTCCATTACTTTGTGAGTAAAACGGACACCTTGCATAAGTGTCACATATATATATAATGGAGCACATAACAATGGATTGATTTATATTTCTTCAAGGCGCCCGTCCTTACCCCACAATGAGTACCGAGACCATGATTTCCAGGCTGGTGGACGGACTACGCATGCGCAGACCAAGTCACTGTCAGGAAGAATTGTAAGCCACGTACTTCATTTTTTAAAGTAAATATTTCTGCTGCGAATATATTTTGTATTAACAAGGTCTTTTAATTATGAAATATGTTCGATGGGGAGTAATAATGAAAACAAAATATTATTTATCATTGTGTATATGACAGATAAGCCATGGAAGACCTTTCGTTGCACACATTTAAATTAAACTTTGTTTTTGACCTGACTCTTAGAACATTTGATTTGCAAATTGTAATAATGATGATAATAATAGCAAGACTATCTCATGTAAACGCATTACAATGGCATCCAAATGCACCGGTTGGAAAATGTAAACAAACAAAACGTTGGTTATCTGAAATTTCAATAATGTGAAAAAAAGAGCTCAGAGTAGCCCTGTGAAATTAAAATCAACATAAAGTAATGCAATGTACATGTGGATGTTTGCTTTAGAAGCATTCTCACCCTCTATATAGCCTAATCAGAAAGTGCTGCCTTTTTCAGATGTCCATTTTTCGTGAAATTTCCAGATACATTTGCACACGTTTGCGTATAAAAATTTCAACATGAAATTTCACAAAAATTAGACATCTGAAAAAGGCAGCACTTTCTGATTAGCCTATATATAGAGGGTGAGAATGCTTCTAAAGCAAAAAAAACCTACAAAGTAAGCCTAAATGTGAAAATCAAAATTTGGCAAAATCGACACGATTTTGTACATGTGGATGTGTGGCCTATGTTTACGGAGGCAGTCCAGTAAATAGGCCACATTTATGGGGCTATACGTGAACCAACTAAACTTGTACTACTCACTACTAGGCCCCTTAGTTGTACGCCAGCCAACTCGTACACTGGCCAAAATTAAATTCATGCCATTTGGTAAGAATGATACTGGGCCACCTCTCAGACTCAGACCTCCTGCATGATTTCTGGGACTGGGCTAGACCCGTGAACGTGGCGTTGTACTTGTACTGTAGTTTAAAAGCCACGTCCACGGGTCTAGGACTGGGCCAGTACACAAAAGGTTCAATTAGACCTAGGGCAGTGTTTCTTCATCAGATTTAAAACTGTTTTGGTACTAATTTCAGGTCATATTAAGGAATATCAGTGGTGGCCCAGTATGAAGTTCTTTCCCATACGAGTTGTCCTGTGTACGAGTTGGTCGCGTACGAGTTGGTCCGCGTACGGTGTTCATGTACGACTAGAAGTTACGAGTTGATCTGTTTTCGTAAACGTTACACTACATGTATAGTGTACGAATCCACACTCCCCGTCTCGTCTACCATCAACTGCTGGTGCTACACATTTCCAAAAAGTAGTGAATAAATTCATGCCATTCTCTCCAAGTCCATTCTCATAACTTTAGTCTTTGTTAGAAATGCTTTGCGTGCTTTTTCGCATGTACAACCCGATCATCAGCACAGTAGGAAAGAGGCACACAGCGGCCATGATGGAAAGCGCCACCGATCGACAGACCCATGCACTTTATATTTGCACGGTGCGCGTGCGGCCCGCCCCCGCGCCCGAGCTGCATGCGATGTATGCCTCGTTTATTAACGTGTCCCTTTGTATTACATGATACGGTAATATATAACGGTCATGTTTATAACATGGCGTATTACGTCCTCAAGCCTCACTTATTAACAACGGTGGCTAGTTGAATCGGGTGCACCATTGGCTTTCCAATGATACCAAATTTATCTCTGTAGCTGAATTTATTCTAAAGATACTGCTGCAGTAACTTCATGCGCCGCCAACGGCAGTGATAAACGTTCTTCAGTTTTGTCTCCACTTTTTGGGGTATTTTTTCCAAACAAAAATGCATAGTGTGAATCTTGGATACCTTGACTGCTCAAAACACACAAAACAACCAATATCAATATTGACATGATTTTTCTACTATATCCGACTTCAGGCGTCGATTACTCAAAACAAGGTTTTGTGGGACATTCCTCATTCTGCCTCAGTAGGTCACAAATAAAAAAAAGACACAGATACAATCTCAGTAGGGCTAATGGGACACTTTCAACGAAAACACAAAACGTCAAGAACGCACTGGCAACCAAATGTTACATACCATGCACTCTGTGTGTTTATTTTATTGAAGCGATACATTATCAAAGCCCTCAAACGGTTCAGTACTTTTTTTTCTGTTATCCTTAAACTGCATTTGTAACCAACGTAGAGCGTAGTGATAATAAATGCTTTGCTTTAAATTGACCCAGTGTTCCGGCCTAAGATTTAGTCAAACTAGATGACAAATGTATTTTAAGGCTATGCATTATTTTTGCTTATCAATGTAAACTAAACTAATTTTACTGTGTATCATGCCGATTCACTTTAATATGCAGACTTGCAAAAGTTATTTTTTTTTTTTTAATTATTATTATTGACATGCAACAAGCGTTCTGATTAATATGTATGTACTTAAAATAACATAAACTATATTGGTGTCTGTAATTCTTGGGCAGAATCGCCTCCTTTAAAGCTTTGCAGCTGATTATAGAAATGCAATGTTTCCATTCTTACAGTATGCTACTGTTCTGAAACCTCAGATGTACGCCAGTGCAGGACATATAGGTCGGTGAAGGGCAAAACGCAACATTGAAGTTGTGTAATTATTCTTTAAAATTAACAATAGAATTCTGAGTAATTTTCATTTTAGACCAAATACACATAAATACGAAATGCTCAAGTGGTTGTTGAAAATCCGGTCTTGTAAAGTTGCCATGATGGAAAATCGATGCAAGTGGCTAACCTAAACGCGGTTCTAACTTCAGAGTAAAATGGATCTCTGAGAAACTTAATATATCAACGTTATATTTATATAATATATACGCAGAAACTTTCAAATTCCACTTTACTTTAGCAATACTGTCGGTTCATATACACTGAAGTTCACAACAAACTATGACATCTACTACTGTGAATATTTGGGAAATACAAGCACTTGGCATTGTTTCTATAATTAAATATGTTGTTTTTGATCAAATCATGTTTGTCATGTAAATGTTCTGCCTATAATAAACATGCCGAAAATACACTCATGAAATAAAAAATCAAACTCTGATCATTTCGTTCTTGTGTAACAGACCAGTGGTCAGAGCTTGCCAATTGTCTATTTCCTCTCAGCTGGGGGCATCACCTGCATGCGAACACCTAAGAGAAAAAAAAGGAATGTCTTATATAAAGTGTATAATAGTTGATATTTTAATGTGAACAAAGAAGAGCTGATTTGAACAATCCGACTTTTAGGATGAACGAAAACTTAGTGGTGTAAAGGGGGAGGGGCGCAATGGGGACGCTATCATGCACTTCTACCGAAGAGGCCTGTGCCGATTTGTTTTGTGACCCCTCCCTCCCAAAATTTCGAAAGGACAAACAAAAGGAGTTTGTTTTTTATCAATTCAAACCCATTTTATTGTTTTCAAACCGTAGTTTGCTTTCACTGTCTTTTTTTTCTCGAAAAGTGCAATATCTACTGAGCTGCAATTTAAACGGGTTTGGTTTTGAATATTCCTCTTCACATTTTGAGTGGTGTTATTAATGGAAACGAACAGAATTCGTTAAAAGCAAATAATATGCCTTTAACAGCCCTGCATATCGTTTGTTCAGGAGTTATAGCGTGCATTCTTGACATTTAGTCCAAAATAGAGATATCTCCACTAAGAAGTCTGTTTCGGAGGTACGCACAGCTAACATTTAATCCCTGTATTAGATAAATCTCTATTATTATTAATACAGATTGCTATTGCTTATAGAGATATCTCTATTTTTGGATCAAATGTCAACATTGCACGCCATAGATATCTCTATTGGCAATAGAGATATCTGTATTATTAAAGAGATATTTCTAGTACTAATAGAGATGTCTCTATTATTAATAGAGATATCTCTATTTCCTGTCATAATAGGGCTATCTCTATTCTTAATAGATCTCTAATTTTGGATTCAATGTCAAGATTGCACGCCATAAGAAGTTACATGCAAGATAATGACACGTGAGATGCATGCTTCAAAACGGACATTATTCCGTGGTAATTTAACCGGTTTTTTTTATTTACCCGTGTTTTTTCCAGCTTCCACGGCGGCATATCTTCCCTCATCACTCTTACCAGATTCGGGTCTGATGTATGAATAAAAACATGTTTTAAGGGATTTGTTTTTATAATTATTTAACTGAGTTGAGACTCTATTGTTTCAGCCACGATTCATTGAACTAAGTAAAAAGAAACCCGATTTTTATAGGGAATAATTAATGAAAGGTAATATACAAGGCTAGAAGTCAAGGAAGCAATATCAATAAACAAGCTAGTATATTTGCAAGTAATCAGTTTCAAATGGGAAAATTACATTTTGACCCTTCCAATAACATTTGAAACCCTCAACTTTGAAATTTGTATTGACAATTTTTGTACATTTTTTTGGGGGGGGGGGGGGTTCTAGGTTTAATTAAGAGACTGTACTTACCCCGTGTGCTCTGCAGGTTGGCATCCTAAAAAAAAGGGAACAATGCGCGTTTTATTATTTCGTCGATGACAACTGTAAAATGATACAAAGATGCGATGATATTGCAACACACACAAACAACATCTCCTGAACATAAATTTCAATTGTGTTAAACACTTTATTGCATTTGAACTGCATATGGCAGTTATGAAGGTTGTTAAAGATTTAGGTTCGCAGCATTTTCCTCCATACTGCTGCACTCTGAAATTCCCACTATCCTGGTTTTTTGTGCCATTACTGCCACCGACCTACAAAACAAAGTGTGATTTAGATTTCATCTTTCCAGCTGATAATACATTTTAAATATATATCACTTTGTTTTATGGCCTGTGAGCTATTCCATTCTGAATTTAGCGTATTTTGCATCCATTTGTTTTCTTATTTATGGACAATGTCCAATTTACCTTGGCTACGTTTGGTGGTTGACCTTCTGTGGCGCATGACTCCAGCGACAATGACCACAATGATTGCTACTGATAGGATAATGGCGATTGCTCTGCCGGCAGAAAGCCCCGGGTCAGATTTCACATCTGATAAGTGGACTGAATACAAAATAAAGAACATTGGGAATGAAAACTGCTTATACAAACCCGTACATTTTTAATGTTACTGTTCTGGGTTTCAATAGCACCTCAACTTTACCGATAATGATTTGTTATCCTGAGAAACCCTCATAGTTGTCGTTTCTACCACCCACAAATCATGTTTATATGGCCTCAAACGGGAGAGGCCCCCAAGCACATTGCTATACATTGACATACAGAGAAAAGGAGTCAAGTTACGCGACCCTCTCCCAGATGATGAATACAGGGGGCTCAAGATTGCGTCCGCTCTAAAGGACAGAATGACGTCATTACCCTGCCATACGGAACTGGGCGTGGTCGTCATCGGCTTGAAAAAGAAGAGTCTGTGATTTAAAATGTTTACGAATGCATGGTGTAAATCAAACGTATAATATAGTTATTATTTATTTCCCCAAGATATAGTTATACCTCGACAAAGTGGCAGTTGCTTACTTTAATAGATCGTTTCACGGATACCGCAATCTGTGTTGTCTCATTACATTGTTAGTGTTGTAAGACGTAATTAAGGTAATTCAAGGGTGTAAGGGTTATTTATCAAACGCTTTACTGTAATACGCCTTTATTAAGGTTCCAAAACTTACATGCCACGTTCATCAGACAAGCGTCGCACACACGTGGGCAGAATGCGTTCCCTCTCGCGCAGCACGTGTACAATGCCCCGTCGTCCTCTTCGGTCAGTACACCTGTCGTGAAGTTCAGCGTCGTCACTCGGCCACCGTAGTCGCCATCCGTTATCTCTGGCTGTGCTGGATTGACCTGTTCCTCTTCGTCTCTGAACCACATCAAATCGGGCTCCGGATTGCTGCTCTCGGAGACGCAGCGGAATGACGAGTTGCTACCTGTCGTAGCTGTCAGTGGGCAAGTGGTGATGTGTATCCTAGGACAAACTGAGCAGAGAAGATTATACCTGAGTGCTCAACAAATCCATCTGCAACAGGTTATTATTCTGAGCATCAACATAATTTCATTGTATAACTGACCCTGGGCTGATTGGAATCAGTTACGAAAACACGACTTATTTGAAGTTGAACTTATCTAGCCAATATGCAGTTCTACATTTTATATTTATACTTTGAGCGAATTTAAAAGAAAGGAATAATGTTTGAGGTATGGGCGTAATAATTACAATGAACGTGCAAAAAAGACAAACTACACGATATTTCTTGCTAACTGTGGTATCGAATCAGGATACAGGAAGCAAGTTTCCATTCCAGGGCTTATGGAAACGAGGTTGACAATAAAGTAAGCACTGCGGACGAGGTTGGCCTTATGGATCTACTGCAGTACCCGATCTGGTACTGTACTTCATTTATGATGTTGTTTGCTGTGCCTTGGTCAATAACCAAGACCCATTGCGGGTCAAATCTGATCTGGGACTTTAAAAGAGCATTACAGTAAAAAAAAGTCTCCTAGTTTTTTTTTTAATAGTTGGTTTACTGTGGTTGAGGTATCCAATCGCATCGAATTGCCTACTATCCCATCATATTTGTCCCCTCAAATTATAGTATAAAAAGAGAATCAATAAAATGAAACTGAAATCACTTGTTTACACTAAGAACAGGCTTATATAGGGATGATAATTATATGAGTGCCCACACCTGTAACATCAAGTGTCACGCTGGCGTTCACTGCGGGCCAGTTATCGATGTTTGAAGCAGAGCACTGCAGTAGCTCTCCGTGGTGATTCCACGTAGTGGACAGTCTCACAGTACTCCTGCTGGTGGTCAGACCGTCGGCTCCCACGACATCCGTGCTTTCGTTTGCCGTGATGTTCCAACTCCCCAAGCTCCACTCGATCGACACCGCGGGGCGAGTCCCCGGTACTTCGCAGATGAACTCACTCTCCACTCCCTTGATCACAAAAGATGTCCCGTTGGTTTGGGTGATGTTATCGGTTGACTCATACATAGTTATCACTGTCGGTGGAACTAAACAGATATAAAAAAAAAACATGATTAATCTTTGAATAACATGCCTTTTTTGGCTTGTGGCAAGACCCTTCAACTTTGTAATGGAATTTTCGTACATTTTAAAACGTCACTTTGAAAACAAACAATATTGTTGATGGGAGAAATTTAGGTCGTCGGTAAAAAGCTTTGACGCAAAATTGTAATTTTGTTAGCGTCAACTGCCCAAAATAATAGAGTAAACGCAAAATGTTTGACCGCAAACCCAATTCTTAAACATTTGTTTTGACGTTTTCAGCAAGATATGTGGTTGAAAGTCCCCCATATTGTGTGGTACTTGTATTTTTAAAAAAATGTAGTAATTGTTTACACTAGTTTACAAAATGTTGCATTTGGACTGCCTTTAATGTATCAATGTCTAAAGGTTTTAGTGTATTTTTGTCCATTGGTCTTGGTTTTATGGTATTTGACCGGTTAGCTGTATTTAGGTACGTGTTGTGAGCTAATTTTATGTATTAGCTATTTTGTTTTCACTTTAATTATTACCTTTTATATCGAGCGTTGCACTGATGCTCAAACCAGGATGGTTTTGCTTATTTCTGGCCTGGCAATGCAGCAACTCGCTGTGGTTGCTCCAGGTCGGGGTCAGTATGAGCGAACTATTGCTGGTTATCAATCCACCGGACCCAGCGCCATTCGTGCTGCTGGCGAACGTTAGTTCCCTACCGCCGAGTGTCCAGGTGAACGATGCTCCGGGGTCGATGTCTGGTAGCTGGCACGTAAACTGCGAATCCACTCCATGTACCAGGTAAGAGATTGCATCAGTTGATGGAAGCAAGCCGGTAGGATCTGACAATGTGATTTCTGTCGGAAGCACTGCAATGGCAAAAAGAGATGTGTTTCTATAAATTCATACACACCATGAAAAATACCTAATTGGCAATGCAAATGCAAATCTTCCTAATCAATGTAGAACACTCTTGTAATATGCAATGATTAGTAACGTTTGATTGCAGCACACACAAACCATAATGATTTCTATACTGCTTGGTGTACTCCTTTTGATGTCTTGAATATTGAAGAAAAAAAAAGAGCATGCCCACTTGTTACAGCTAAGTTTTATCTCCATTTTGTTAAAACCAGATTTATATTTCCTTCTTTTCATTTTATCCGATAAACAATTTGGGTAAAATTATTCAACATACCAAATATTTCTACATCGTCGATGGCCATGTCTGACGTATCACTGTATCCCCTCGTTGCCTCAAATGCGATCCTAAAATTTGACGTCGGGTCGCTTGTACACAGATTCGCCTCAAGCCAATTCGTCGGGCTTGTTTGCTGGCCACTCCATGAACCCAGGGTTATCCCTGTCCCGATGTTACGGCTGGTTAGTAAGCGTTTCACTCTCAAAATACCTAAAGCATAACAATATAATTTTCAGAACAACGATGTATTACAAAAAGGAACAGCAATGTTCACTTCCAGGAAGCTTTCGTCACTTGTGGAGTACTCGTCGCAGCTGCAAAGATAGGCAGTGTTACTTTTTTGGGGAGGGGTAATTTTCCATTTTCCTCGGCTAAACTAATCGCGTGGAAACATTTCGTGAAATCTGCTGCATATGTCGGGAATAAACCTTCACAGAATCTCACTTTTTTTGTTAGCTACATGAACAATTATTATTTAGCGCCTTCGCAAGATCGAGTGGTAAATGATTTTGTAACTTGTCCCTTGTGACTTGCGGCTTGTCCCCGCTCAATCTGCCTCGCAGCTTCGCGATTATTTTTTTTTTCAAAGTCAATATAACCATGCAAAAAAAAATACGGTAGTTTGGTTGGCGAGCTTAATTAACCTTAGGTGTTTTAACAGCGGTGTGGGTTCACATACTAAGCCCATAGATACGTACCCATGTAGTATCCGTACATGTTGTACCAAAAGCGCACGCAGACTATTTGCCGATTATTCTTGTGTGGAAACACAGGACTAAGAAGCACCGCAACGTTATTTGGGCTCATGTTTGAAGCCTCAATGTAGAGGTAGTAGCCATAGCCGGTGCCTAGAAATATAACGGCACAGGAAAATACATTAAAAGGCACCGGAAAAACCCTTCCCCCCCAAAAAAAAAAAAAATGTGAAGAATATTGAAAAAAAAAACCACAAACCATGTAAAAATTCTAATACCAAAACCAACTACAATACCATAACAAACACACCATGCCGACACAAAAACAAACAAAATCAAATACATATACATACATACACCAACATCCACCCAAAACAGATCTAGCACTGTCAACAACAGCTATGTTTACGTTACATTCGTAGTGTGGAAATTCCTTTGTTTCGTGTAGTTAAACCTGTTTTCCAGAGAGGGGAAACACTGTGTGGACGTGGGCAAATCCACACAACGTCGATGCTACCTGGTTTAATGTGGACCTCTTTTGTTTGGAAGTCCACACAGTGAATGATATGCTTGTACACCCATACAATCACCCATGTTTACGTTATATACCTAGTGTGGACATTCTTTTGTTTCGTGTAGTTAAGAAAAACCTGTGAAACAAAACCTCATTTACTCACAATGTAAAAACTGTGTAATTTGTTTCGCCCCGAGTTATTCATCGCTTTCAGACTTCTGTTTTTAACAAAACTTTCATACATGAATCGGTAATTTCATACATTTCTTGTACCTCGGCAAATTTTCTTAAAATTTGCCATTATTTAGGAACTATTTTCCATAATATTTAATTATTTATTATTAAAAGAAACCTAAAATGCATTCACATTAATTTTGGTGTAATCAGTCTTGAACAGAATTTTTATCTGGGATGACTTTGGCATTTAAACTCACCGGTAGAGGGTGATATGCCTACCCTTTTCTTTGGGGCAATATCATCATCTTTGTTATTTTCCCCCAAATCATTTAAACCAAATTGGCACAAAATACGTATATCAATGTAATTAACTTTAAAGCATTTTTTTTTCATACATAATTTAACTTTTAAAAGTACCCTAAACTAAAGAAAATCGTTCAAAACATAAAATGGTAAATTGGTAAAGCGACAATGAATTTTAGTCTAAAGTAACCGCTTGGTAGGTTTAGGCAAAACACAAAAATGTTTTGACGAACAAAATGCATAATTTTCTGTATTTTTTATAACAAATAACTGAAATTCATGAATACCAAAACCATTTATTATTGAGGTAATTTCTTTTACACGGCAAATTTCTTAAAATGTTTACGTCTGGTGACGCGTTGCTCGTTTTTGACGGCTTAGATCACCAGGCTATTTAGACTTAAGTGACTAGTCGGAACGAAGTGGCCCTACTCCAATATGCATTAATGACAATCTGTGCAAAGTTACGTGACTTTATACTAATGTGCATACCAGAGTGACTAGATATGCAAGCGTTCGTAATTAAGGGTTAATATGGTGTTCCATTCCTAACCCCTAAGGTGTGTTACAAAAATAACCTTCAATTTGAAGGATTCAGGACTGTTCATTTTTGTCATCACTGTGTGAACCACGAACTTACTTCCATAGGTCTTATCATAAGTTGGTCCTGTATTAGACGTAGATGTCTGTCCGTACTTTCGAAACCAATTGTAGTTATCACTCCCTGACTGGGTCCAATCGCACATTCCACTCTGGAAGTCACACAGGCGCCCCAGAGCTGGTAAGGAGAAAAATCCGAATATTTAACCATCAATTCATAACGGACCATTTGTAATGTAAAATATCATTACACTGTAAAAACAGTTAAACATTTGGACGCAAACTTTAGTAAAAATGACTAATTAACCCAGGTTAAGTAATTGTTACTTTTTATTTTTACCAAAAAAGGTTAGTCATTTGGGAGCAAACATCAGTCAAAATGACTAATGTAGCTTAGTCAAGTAATGTTTACTAATTATTTTGCATCCTGGACTAACCAGGTTGACGTAAAATTACAATAAACAAAATAAGGGTGCAATGACTACTCATGATTCGTCACATTTTTTTTCTAAAAAAAGTGCTATATTGGAATATTTATGAATTCACTAGTAGCTTTATTGATAAATATAACTATGTGTGTATGTTTGTATCACTTTTAAACACGTTTTCAACCAATGATTAGTAATGTAAGCTTCTGTGACATTATTTTGAAAATTGTTCAGTCTTGAATTACTATTAAGTCGACCAGTCCAATGATTATTCCTGCGATACTCCCATGCATGCGTATTGTGACAATTCCCCCCCCCCCCGTTCAGGGCGCGAACAATTTCAAACCTCGCTGTGTCCACCACATTTTTGATTTGGTGTATCACGGAAACAGAATTTGCTATACTATTGCTATATGTACGCATTCACTTGCAGCTGTTTTCGATATATATGACAAAACGTGTTTATGTGTATTATTTCATTTTTTTCTTTTTTTCAACCATTGATCAGTAGTTTAAACTTGTGTGTCATTCTTTTGAAAAATCGGTGTCAGAAGTGTGATGAGTGTGATTGATTTAGGTGATTTCTCTGTTAAATAATTTAATTGCTCATTTTGTTGTGAAATGTTGTTGGTGATTTCATGGTGGAACGACTGCGAATGGAAGCCCAATTTCTGCAGTGGGAGAATGATCTCATTGCAAATAAATTGGAGGCTGTCAGGGAGGTGTGGTCAGGTATTTCCCCAAAGGTAGGATACACTGGTACACCGGCCGAGAGCAGGCATGTGGTCCGTCAGGTTTATTACCATTGTGAGCTTAGTTTGCCCGAAGAGACTTCTAGGTATATCTTTGGACCAACGGGGAAAGTGTCGGGCCACGTGTAGTGCCTGATTCGACCCCTAATTTTGGGAGGGCGTTGAGCTTTATGGAAAGTACACCTAGGAGAAGACAGGGCTCAGGAATATTACCCCTAGCGGAGTCGACGCGTTTGGTCAGGGAGGCAGACGGTCCAAATGAGGATATATGTCGTTCATACCTGATTGTGGCGTGGAACGGGGTAAGGCAAGTACCGACTCGTTTGTTGGTGACGTGGGATGGTGATTACCCCTATACCGGTACATACCGAACTGTTGTTTCGAAACTCCACAAGTGGAGGCGAAAAACAACAGTTCAGCTCAAGACAAAAGCTCGGCAGTGGATTTTTGGTCACTGAAACGAGAGTTACGTGTCCGTGGTGATGTGGGACAGAAAGTCGAGTAGCAGAGGTTGCTCGACCAAAAGCACGCCAAGTTGGTGAGAGCCGTTAACTTTTGAACAGAGCAGCTGTTGATGACTTTGAAAGTATGAGAACCTGCTGGTAATGTCGTTGTCGACTCAGATCAAGGGTCAGGGTCAGGGCAGGGCGTGTCGTCCCCCAATACACACAACCCCAGGAAGCCGAACCTAGAACCTTGCGGTGTTTCATGTGTCGATTCGGGGGAACATCGCCCGGGAGTGTAAAAAAAAAGATTTCAGGGAGGATGGCTGCACTCCGAAACAAAAACCAGTAAGCCCCGCATAGGACGAGTGGGAAGGCTAAATGGTCAAGAGGATCAAAAAGATGACCCAGTGACAGTGAGGGTAGTATCGGAGGAAAGAGGTCCAAACAAGGTGATGGGCGTCGAATCATAACTCTGTACGATCCAAGCATTGGTCCTCGCTCTGGTATGTTTGTGAATGGGGTAGCAAGGGAGACCAAAATGTCGATTTCTGCTTGACACGGGGTCCATCGACACTTTGATTAGTAGTACCGTGTATTACCAAATTCCAACGGAGACGAGACCCGTCTTGGAGACGGAAGATGTTCAATTGAAGCAAGTTGACGGTAGTCGCTTTATGCTGAGCATAGCTTGGATGGAAGTGCAAGTTGGTCAGACCACTTACCAATTGAGGGAAGTCTTCGCTGAGACAAAGTACTGTGGTATCCTGGGCGTCGATTTTCTTGTGCCCACGATTGGAAACTTATACTTTCTTTTAAGGTAATGGAGGTTCAATAATGACCAAATTGAGCGCTCTAATGTCGCAGGCGAGCCCTTTTGGGGCGCGTTGTAGTTTCTAAAACTACGGCCAGTCATAGTGGAACCGATGGAAAGTTTTTGCAATGTATCCCAGAAAGTTTGGTGTTGGCCAGATCTGTGGTTGAGACTGAGGCCGATGTTGTTCAAATGCGGGTCTTTAACCCTGGAAGTAAGAAAAAGTTGCCCGTGAGCTGGCAATAGCGGGAGTGATCTCCCAGGTTGAGCTTTTGGTTAGGGGCGTAGCCGACCAACCAACCCTGTCACGTAGTGCTTTTAAGGAAGCACAGTTACAGGATGCAGGATGGAACCATGCATGAGTTGGCTGTCAAGGTCGAAGAAGCATGATGGTAATGGCCGTCCTGAGTGGAAGACAGTTTTCCACTGGTCAGCAACATGTAGGACCTATTGGTCGCAGTGGGACCAGTTGAAGGTCCGTGAGGAGTTGTACATTGGAGGTGGGACTCCGGTATCGATGCGACCGTCATCAAAACCAAGCCAGAACACACAACCTGTCTCGCTGAACTGCCACACATGGTTGAAGACTTCCCCTGGAAATCGAGTGTAGAGACCCTTAATCTACTCAAGCCAGTTCAGGACACTAAAACACTGGGTCAAACATTCGGTGGTGTATTGCTGAATCTGCCAAAACACACCCTGATGGGAATGTGGGTCCCAAATTGCCTGACGTCTTTAAGCTTCGGACCGATGATGATGTTTGCCTTAAGGCCCTGTCACACTGTTTGCGATCTTATATGCGCTCTCACTGCGTCCTTAAAAATAGCTGGGGCGCAACAACAACTACTAGATCGCAACGACAACTACATAGGTCGCCAGATGGGCGCCAGAGAGTCTTAATGGTCTCCGATGAGCGCAACGGTATTTGAACATGCTCAAAACAATCGCAACACCTCTGCGCTTTGGCCAGGGCGCCGTAATGACGCAACTCGGGCGCTCTGCGAACGTGAATCGTGCGACATTGAAGTGGCATTGACGCAGCATATAGGCGCAAAGCAGTCGATGTAGTCTCTATGAGAAAGTAACTTGACTGCGATGAACTTGTATAATATTTTTTGAAACTGGACTGTGTACTGACCGTTTTGTTGTGGTATTTATACAGCGCAAGTGACGTCACATGAGCGTATATTGGTCGAATAGAGAGCACGACGCGAGCTGCTAGGACGTATCAACAGCGAGCAGAGCGCAGTATGGGCGCAGTGACAGCGACTAGATCGAGTAATTGGGCTTGACAGGGGCGCATAGAGAGCGAGTTGAACGCATCGTAAGCGCGGGAAGAGAACAGTATGAGCGTAGCTTGAGCTTCTTTGAGACAGAAAGTTGTCATTTTCTTGCCTCCTCGCTGCGATTGTTCAATTTATAAAAAAAGTGGTCGCTGTAAGGTCTCCTATGAGAGCGCATTTAATGTGACAGGCCCTTTAGTGCCTATGAGCGTCTAGCCACTGTAAAGGGCCTGTCACACTGTCACGTTCTGGTGTGGAGTTCGTACCGCGACCAAGAAAATTAACTAAAACGCGGTGGCAACGCTGATGACGGCGTGGGGACTCATTGATACTAGTTAAGGACTTCAAAAGGACTCCAAGGACTTCGCTGAACGCCAACTGCCACGTTTGTTTTGGACATGCACAAAATGTTTGATTGAAATAAACAACAAGAGTAGCTTCAACATAATGAGAACGGTGTTATCTTATTTATGCTCTAGTGTATAATTGTTAGCATTGAAGGTCTCAAGTAGCAGAAAATAAACACACATTGTGCGCGTAAACGGCTTTGAATTTGTCACGTCTAGTGCGCAATTTGTAATGTCCTCTACCGCGTGACCCTCCATGCAAGGCTACGCGAATGCACGCGCTGCCGATCTAGTCTTTGTATACTACATGTATATCTATGGCTCGCAGAGACCTACGACTACGAGTTTGACCGCGTACGCATACGAGTTGGTCCGCGTAAAGAGTTGACTCGCATACAAGTTGACCTGTATTTACAGGCCAACTCGTGATTTGAATGTTTAAATAGGCCCATCTCAAAATCATAGAAATAACTGTTCAAGGGTTTTAAATTGAAAACATTTTATCACTATCGGTAAACGAGGCACACAAATTGAATAATTTGCCGGCTAAGTATACCTTAGGCCAACTGTCAATGCGGAGATATCATTCATGTTATTACATGTATGATGTACCGCTGTTAACACTACCTACACAGAAACGGAACTTTGCAAGAACATATTGCACTCATTTCGGCGGTAAAGAAAAACCTCTACGGCTCAGGCGTTGTATCTCAGTGAAAAGTACTGTACTACTTGGAATGAATAGAACAAAAAATGACTTAAATTGTTTTAAAAAAAAACCTGATTCTTGTTCACGAAACGTCGGCACACCGAGCAACAAAGATGGCGGACAACGAAGTTGAAAATCCCGCGCGCCGCGCACTGCACATGTATGTGTTTATTTTTTTTTACCACTATCGTTACCCCGTATGTACCGTGGTTATTTCTGTGTTTCTAGTATGACCAGGTTTGCGTTAACATTTTAACAACTTAACCACGGAAGTAGTCAATAAATATGACCACGGAAATAATAACCAAGTATTTTTTAAGAGTGCATCCGATTCTCGCCTATCCATATTATGACAACCTATTTGTAGTCCACACCGATGCCAGTGATGCCTGGCTAGCGCGG